CCTGACCAGTAAGAGGAACCCTAATTGATTATATCCTTGTAAATAATAAAACACAATCTGGTTAAAGATGGGCATGTGTTCAGAGGAGGCGATATCCATTCTGAACATTTTATGGTTCGAGCAGCAGCGACTATCATGGCTCCGTGGAAAACAACGAGTAAAAAAGGAAATATTCAGAAGAAACGAGTAACCTACAAAGTAAACTTATTAAAAGATGAGAGTATATCACACTTATACGAAAACTGTAATAAACATCATTTATCAATGAATCTTCCAGACATTAAAGTAAAAGAATAAAGATCAAATATAAAAAGATCTGTAGAGGCTGCAGCAGAAGACTCCCTTGGCTGTATGTATAAAAACTATAGAAGAAGAGGCATCAAAATCTGCCCAGAGGTATTTGAAGAAATTCTAAAAGAAGAGAAGAATGCCTACAAGGAAATGCTCCTGACTCCCTCACAAGAAAACGAATTTGATTATAAAAGAAAATGTGCAAACAAAAAGAAAAAGGTTAGAGAAGCTTATCGAAAAAGCTGGTATAGAAGATGATGCACATGAACAACAATATTATGCTTATCAAGTGTTGAAACATCTTAACAAAGAAAAGAAAGACACAGCTCATGTATATGTTATCAAAGAATAAAATTGGTTGCAGTACTATTAAGAACTGCGGTGTGATATTGAAGACAAAGAAAACATTCAAGAAAATTACATTACAAATAAAACATACTAGATAATATAGATCCTATAAGTATGGAAGGATTATATGTGCTTTGGAAATGAATAGAAATTTAAAAGCTGCAGGAATAGACAATATGAATAATTAACTATTAAAATATGGTGGCCTCACTTTGATATCGAGACTGTTGTGCTTCATTATTCTGGAGCTATTGTCAAATACCAGGAGAGTGGGAAGTGGCTGTTGTAAAACCCATTTATAAAAGAGATGATAGATCAGTCTGTAGAAATAATAGAGGAATACATTTGCTAACTGCTGGTTCTACATGATAGCATTTGCTAACTGCTGGTATACACTATAATACTCTCCAAAAGACTGAAACCAATAGTTGACACCATCATCAGTGAACCACAAAACGGGTTCAGAAAAGGACGAACTTCTTCAAATCCCATATTTACACTCAAAATACACTAATAGGAAGAAGGAGATAATACAATCTTGAAACACACATAGTCTGTATTGACTATGTGAAAGCGTTTGACAAATGTAGACGACCACTGCTGTGGAAAATGTTAATAAAGAAGAGGACATATTACCATCTCATCCAAGTAATTAAAAGCCTGTCTGCTGGAACAAGAATATGTCTCGAGACTGATTTCAAAATCGGCCAAACGTTTCTGACTATAAATCCTGGAGTTAGACAGGGTTGTAGCTTATCGGCAACGCTGTTTAATCTATTCGTAGATGAAATGCTGAATGAATAGAACTGTTATACTTCTTGTGGTACTGAGATTGCAGAAAACTGTTTTATAAATTATATCGTATATGCAAACGATCAAATTCTGATTGCTGAAGCAGAATATGAAATATCCACATTTAAAACCCAAATTATGGCATTTTGTGGAAAGGAATCAGTAAGATCTAAGATAGTGGTAGAAAACCAGGTTATGAATCAAGTTATTTTAATTATCTAGGAAACGATGTTACATACGACTATGTCAGAGACATAGAAAAGAAATTCTCGCGGTTTCATAAATGAAACATTAAAATGTGCGGAACCATAAGAAAAACCCTCGGTAAGAAAACTCCGAAAGAGACACAGTTGAAATTCTATAAGGCAATGGCAATACCTACCCTGCTAAACGGTAGCGATTGCTGTGCTTTAAACGAAGAGATATGAGGAACATAAAGACATCAGAGATGAAGTTTCTGAAGTCAGTAAATGGTTGTACGAAAACTTATCACGAAAGAAATCAAGATATTGCAAAAGAACTAAATGTTTATCAGTCCTTGATCAAATCCAACCGTATAAAAGAAATTGGACCCAATATCTGTGTAGAATGGAAGAGCAGCGACTTCCACAAAAGGCATGGAAATATCGTCCGCTTGGAAAACGAGATACGGGAGACCAAGAAAACAGTGGACCATCGAACCGAAACAGGGAGGCCAAGGCCGTGAAGGTGATGATGATGATGATGACGTTATTTTATGTTCAATATAACGCCTATCTCGTGATAACATCTAACTCTAATCGGCAGGTTTATTCTTGTTCTGTCTTCTTTAAATTTTGCGGTCCATATCTTTAAAGTACTGCCGGAACCTTTCACCCTGTTCTTTGCTGATTGATCCTAAATTTTTGGGTGAAAGGTACACATGACAGTGAAAGAAATGCATTTTGACATTCATGGTGCAATCCAACGTTTGTAATTTATCCAAAAAATTGATAACAATTGCTTCATAGTCAGGATCCGCGTAATTACTCAGAAATTAACTGACTACATATTTGAAGGCAACCCAAGCTTCTTTTTCCTTTGTTATGCTGGTTTCAAATTATTTATCCTTCATAACCTTGCGCATATCTGAACCAACAAAGATTCCGTCTTTCAAATAGGCTTGGGATAAACCTGCGTCATGATTTGAAATTATCGCCAACTTTTGAAAAGGTCTTGACAAACTGCTTCATTATACCGAATTTTATATGTAGAGGGAATAACAATACATTTTGCCTCTTCCGAATCAAAGTATTGGTGCTTGGTTCAAGATTTTGTCTTTTCGACCACTCTTCTTTGAGCCAGTGTTGAGTCTTATCACGTGTGTTCCACTCACAAATGAATCACGGAACTTTATAAATCGGCCTTATTGACCAAGTAATATTGAGATGGCTTTTAAATCACCTTTAATGATTCAACCGTGGTTGCCGTAGTTTATTCTGTTTTTATTGTATTTGTGAAGATTACGATGGAGAGGGAAGAATGACGACGGGAAGGTATCACAAAGGGATCTTCTGCAGGTCTAACCACGGGAGAATGATGGTCAGACATGGAGGGAAGAATTTCAACGCCGAAAAAATTATGGTAAGTGTTCATAAAATCCAAGTAAAATAGATTTCTTCAAAAAAAACGTGACGTTACATAAAATTTTCATTACTTTTGTAAAAATCAGCACTAAAAATACATAAATTTGAATAATCAATTCCCTTTTATAGGAGGATGAATTAAATATGAACGAGACTTTTCCTACCACGCGCGTAATTTCGAGTGGACTGGGCGCCGCTAGAGGGCACTGATGGCGATGTGAGCAGGCGGCGACCTTTTCAGACTTGTTCGGCAGTAGCAGTGACGATGTCGGGGCAACCGGTGCAACCTTCTACTGCGCAACACATTATTGTGAAATTTCGTACTCGTGGAGGTGTAAAACCAATGGAAATTTGGCAAAGATTAAGTGCACAGTTCCGGGATAGAACTCTGTCAAGGGCGCGGGTGTTCGCGTGCCATAAGTAGTTCAAGGAAGGACGTGATCGTGTTAGAAATGAGGAACATGGTTGCCAACCTCGGACCAGCATTACGGAGGAGAATATTCGCTCGATTCGTGCACTTGTTGATGAGGATTGATGTCGGACAGTTTCAGACACTGCGTCAGAGGTTGGAATAAGTTATGGGAGCTCTCAAACAATCATTTCCAAAGACCTAGGGTTCCGTAAAGTGTGTGCCAGGTGGGTCCCTCGCCTCTTGACTGTAGAACAGAATATGATACATTGGCAGGTCTGTCAGATTAGAGGAAATGAAATGGACTCCACTTGAACATCCTCACTTGACCTATCACCCTGCGATTTTCATCTGTTTGGGCCGCTTAAAGAAGCCCGAAGAGGGCAGCTATTATAAGACATTTCGGGAGTGGACACCTACTTGCACAAATGGCTCATGGTTTCTTTTACGATGCCGGGTTAAAAATCTCTCATTCCATCGGTCAAAATGCATTTCCAAAGAAGGAGATTATGTAGAAAAATGATATGTTCATTGATGCAACATTACACTAAATATTTTGTTTTAAACGTTTGTCTCGTTTATATTTCATTCACCTAGGTATTTTTATCGCAGGTTATCGAAACAATACCGGTCTTATGTAAAGAAAAGTCAGTAAAAAAAACTAAATGTACAAGTATAACGAGATAGACTTAAACTGAAAGTAAAGTTCCTCCTGTACAAGTATATCATCAATCACTGAAAATTTCGTTGAAAGGTATTCTGTCAAACACTCGCTTTGATAATTGGGTGTAAAGATTTCCAAACACTTCCACGAACACCGGCAACAGCTCTTCCCACACCTGCTGCCAGTTGTCGTTGATCAGCTGCAGAGTAGGAGATCCTGCAACAGCAGAAATATCTCGTGTAAATGCTATCCAGTTGTCTTAAATGTTCGGGAAAAAACAACATTCCGAAACAGTCTTTAAACTACTTTACTGATATTTTAACAAGATGTTGAATCAGCATTTTCATTTTCTACCTTCTTAATTGTTATTTGTAGAAGCTTGTTAAAATAAGAGTAATCGCTCTTTGCGGAAGTTCTCCTTTTTCTGTTTCATCTGTAGAAATGTACGGTTACAAAGGATATTATCTACATACTACATTTATGCCTCAATTGTGGTTCATTTGTTGATACTTCATGTGGTTCATAATACTTTAATACTTTATGTGGTTCATAATGCTTTAATACTTCATGTGGTTCATTTGTTAATAGGAATTTTTCTCCCCAAAATCGCAGTATTTCGCTGCTGCATTACATATCTCTCTTTATAATTTATATTCAGTGTGCGAGTAAGTAACTATTGGAGCTACAGAGTTACACGGACTTTCTCGCACTAGTTAATTCTTCATTTTCTTTGGTCTGGGCAAACATTTTGGTATTGCCTCACCCTCTTTCCCACTACCATCTATCGCCCGAACTACATTTTTTACATCATTTCAATCTTTCGGTCCCTTAATATTAGAACTGATATCTGACTATAATAATATTACTGAAGAGTATAACTTCGTCCTATACGAGAATTTTCATTGACATTGACTCACAAATTCAAGAATGAATACAAATTGCTGTAATATAAACATTAAAGGCGTGACAAATTTGTGTAATTTGTAAATTACATTTGCGTATTTAAAAAACAAAACAAAAGAATACATGAAAATGGCATTGACGTTTAGTTCTTTAGTTCTTTTTGCACTATTCATTTAAGATGTTCAAAAAGTTCAAGAAAAATGGGGAGCCTTTTTCGAAACAATGGCGTTTGAACGTTTATGAAAATTGAGAATGTTAAACTCATTTTCACGAAAACACTTTTGAGTTTTCGAAAAACATAATCAATGATCATTTGAACCTCATGTTCTCATAAATCTAATAATGTATACAAAATGCCGACAGTGTAAATATTGACGACATGAGAAAGATGTCAAAAGTTTTTAAATTGTGAATAAAAAAATAAAATAATGCAGAAAAATGACGTTTCTGTTATCTTTTACATTACATTTAATACTAACCCTATCACAAGTTTCAAGAAATATTTGGAGCCGTTTTTGATAAATTCTTGTTTTTGTTATATTTACTTTTCACACACAACTACGTGAAAACTTTAAATATTAAAATAATGTACCTGACTTTAATGAAATAACAATTTATGGAAACAGAATTCATTAGATGAAAAAATCTGTATCTTCAATTTTGTGGCTGTAAGAAGACGCCTATAAAATTTCAAACGTTCGCAATCTTCCAAAACTCATAGTTAACAGTGAAAATCTTACCTATGCCAGCTTTACAATGTATTTTAGTATATTCTTACAAGAAATTTAAAGAAAAAATTTAAAGCGAGTTTTGAGAAAATTTTGAAAATATCCCAGGAGCTTCATGTAAAAGACCCACACATTACCCCCAAAAATAATGAATGTTATTCAAAATCGCAGAGCTTCGAGGAGCCAGATCGACCGGGAAGTATTCAGGTTGGAAAAAGCGTAGTTGACACGCTAGTATTTGTTTGTTTGTTTTTTGTTATTTAAGGTCGCATCAACTACTAGGTCATTAGCGACCACTATTGCTTGTAACGGTATGGTAACTGTGGATTGACACGATAATGATGATGAAAGGGGGTGAAAGGACGAAACACAATACAACCATGCCCGAGGCGGGACTCGAACCCGCGATCCTTCGGTCCGAATTCGCTACGGCACTATTGCCTTAGGGATCTCGGCCACCGGATCGGCACGCTAGTATTGTTCACAGATGGAGGGACGTTACGAAAGAATGAAACACTTCTTCGGTATCAAGAACTCGCTATTCGTAATATTTGACTACAGAATGTGTTCATCCATTTTTCTGCATTCAGGCTCAACATTACGAGTGCCGTTTTTCTCTGCAGTGTTAAATAACTTTCTCTTTTATCCCCATATACTCCGAATATACGTTCGTATACGAGAAAACAAAAAATAATGTCGAGGTTTTGACAGAAATACACGTTTTGTTTGACCCTGGTGACAAAGAAGCGTAACATTGGAATAAAGGATCAAGTCATTCATTATCTCTGGTTATTACAGGCATTAAATTATTTTGTTCAGGTGGAAGAAGTTAAAATAGTGGTATAACACATATAATGCACATATGAATCTCTTTTTCCTTGAGATACTGAAAATTGATAAAATTGATGAGAAATATCTTCAAATAGGATATCTTACCCAAGCTTTTGTCTCCGTTAAACAAGTTGTCGAATTTAAAGTCGATTTTTCCAATGCTATGCCCTTCCATAAAGAAGTGGGTCACGTTGAAATATTCCTTCCCCTTGACCGTTATCATCTTGCCAACGGGTCCTAAAGAAGCATTTGTTTTCTCTGAAAAAAATTAATTTATTAGACAAACTTCTGAGCATTATTCGTTAATTAAAAACAAATTATGAATTAATTTAAACAGAATTAAATACTTACGTGTTCAGTTAAACTGCGCTTTGTGAGGTTAATGATTAGTAATTCTTAGTCTCTATAAAATTGTGATGGATTCACTATCAAAGAATTGTGTAGGATCCAGCGAAACTAATACTTAGCATTTTCTCATTAATATTTCAAAACATCTTAAATGTAAACATCTTATATATATATATATATATATATATATATATATATATTTGTGTGTGTGTGTGTTTTGATGGCATTAAGTTAAATAAATTAAAATCCACTATCTCTTTAATATAGAATTATACGTTCACCAGTACTACCCCTAATGTCAGCCATCCTTAAGTGAACATTCGCACTTTGTTAATCGTAGTAGAGGTATGCCCCGAACTGTCCTTTTATCATGTAGTTCAGGTACAAGTAAAAATACGAATAATTGTAAGTGTATTGAAAATAGATTTGAGAAATTACATATCAAGTAGTCAATTTAATTATACATAGAATTCGAGATTTTCTACGTCTCTGATCACCATTTTCTAAGATACCAAACTACTGATGCTCCAACAGCACATATATTCTATTTTTATTTGCAATGGTTATGCAAATTTATACTACTACATGCATACGTGTTTCCAGCCAGTATATGTTTTTCATAGCGCTGATATTTGGGTTCAGATTCATCGACTCAACACGCCAAGCACATTACCGATTCACCATCACTCGCGCGCCTAAATTCAGTTTTTCTGACGTTTTAAAAGCTTCTGATGCCTAGAATTATTTCTAACTAATGCAAGTTTTGAAATTTCAATGTGTTCAACAAAAATGACACTTAAACAATTTTAAGATTTAATTACATTATCTGATAGAAATATTTATAGAAAAATCTTTAAAGCCATTTTTCTTTGGATTTAAAAAAATTGCATTAATTTCAAGCAGAAATATAAGCAAAATTACTCGTTTTTTAAAAAAAATTACATGATCTTTCCTCAAAATATTATTTTTTAGGTTATATTTAATTTAGAACAAAAATTATATCCTCACTATTGTTGTTTTGCAAAGTTATTTTTTACAATTTAAATATGCAGAAAGTTTGGCGAAAATAGAACCAGCAGCCATATTCTTGACCGTCCTTTGTTACATACGAGAAGCCGTTTTTAAGAAACTCATTGATTAAAAAGTGCCTTACTTAACGAAACATTACACGAAAATTACTCATAGTTTTGAGAATCTACATTATCAGATTTCAATATGTCTTTTGAACAAAAGATTTTATTCTAAAAACTATCTTTAATACAGCGGTAATATAACATATCAAAAAATATAGAACATTTGCAATTTTTGAAAATTTAGAATCTTTATCGAAAACGAGATTGAACCATTTTTAAGCGCCTTATATCTATCCGAGAACACAGTTTAAAAATGTTGTGCCGATTGAGAAAATTTCGAAAAGATTGTTGTGGTGTCATGTAAAGTACCCCCAAAAATCAAAATTTCTGTCTCAAAGAACTTTGAGTACTTTCAGATCAATCGGGGGAATATCAGTTTTGGAGAAAATCGTCTGAACGATTTAGATGCTATCGTTGACCACGGACGGAGGGACTGGACGGAGAGAGGGACGTTAACTTTATTGCATACGGCCCACTAAAACATTGCAAATAAGAATCTTCCTAAATGCACGCGGTTTCGAGGCTCCTTTTCTAAAATTTAATATTCTCTGGAACCATAATTTAGATACTATCTGGGATTGATATAACGTCATTATGTGTACCACATGTTTGTATACGAATTGCGTGAGCATCTTCCAGCGGGCTCTCCCCAAGGTCGTCTGTGAGGAACCTTCCCAAACACCCCTGTGTCCTTGGATATGAATTTCAAACTCGAAGGAATCGCGTGAAATCGTGTTAACAAGTAGTTAAACGTAGAACATGCATTTTAATTTCAATTTCAATTGCTTTTTTTAGTTGGTACGTTCATTACGTAAATTATGAATTTTGTTAGACGTTGTTCAGTTTGAAAACATATTGAAGTACGTGGTGTCAAAAATGTTATCAATGTGATACCAAGAACGTAAGTGCTCAGTAAATCTGCTTATATACGAGGTTTGAGACATAAGTCATGGTAGCTGTCTTATGAGAATAAGAGAATGGATGGAAAATGTGAAAGATAATCATGCAGGAAACAAAGTATGAACTAAGTAGTAGGATTTAAGAATTTAACGACATGGTTTAAATTGTCGTTTTCATATTTATTAAGGTATTTGAAATGACAGTACTGGTTTCATCTTCCAAGGCATTTTAGCTTAAGTGAGTTCGTATCATTCCAAAAGCCTTATCAACCTTACCACGTCGGCCCGCACTATCACACAGGGTTGCCAGATTGGAAAATTTTGTCTCCAAAATTATTGTTTTCGTTATGGACGAAAATGGGGAACATAAATGGACTGGGTAATGTCTTGAGAATATTTGGGAAAATCATTTTCAAGCAAAGTCGAGATAGATTTCTCAATATTTCTTAACTTTCTCATTTATGAATAAAAAAGAAACAACAGTCTTTATTCTCTCTCATTTTTACGTATTGAAAATAAAAAAAAATAGGCTTAGAGGAAGAAAAAAACGCTAATGTCGTTTGCTCATAATTTGGAGAGTATTTTTCGTTTCAAAGTTGCGGAGTTGTGTTTCGTTAGAGAGGTAGGTTCCGTAGGTAGATAGAGGTAAATTCAGTAGAAGTGGTAGGAAAAGGGCTCGCAATACTGCTCTCACAGGTCGTCACGTGCATTGCTGAACTTTAGTAGCTGAGCGTCCTTGCGACTCTCCCGCACATCTGGCAACTGTTCGGTTTGTAAAAGCACTATACCCAACAGCTTCCACCTATTCCCTGCGACATTCTCGGTCATTTCTCCCAAACAACGGCTGTTTTGATGAACAGACGTGTTCAAATTATTAGAGTAAAGCAAGTCTTTTCTTTGTTCCGTGATATAATTGCAGAGAAACGCTGTTAAGGGTGATGTTTGTGCAATCTGCCTTTCACATTGTTGAAGAGACAATGAAGCATTACCAATACAAAAAATCCATGAAAAGGAACTTTCCCCCAAATTAGAGAGAAGATGGCATTTTTATGCACGATGAAGCTCATTGCAACAAAGGCAAAAGTGGCTTCAAGATTTTGGAAGAAAATAAATTTGTAATGAGGGCTGCTCGAAACATTCATCCTGCACGGCGGTAGAGGGGCAACTGATTTCACGTTGCTCTCTGTGTCGTCTGTTGAGACCAACGTGCTAGAATACACTACATAGAGTGGCTGACCATATGGCTTCAGCGCTCTTGGTGGAAGCTCGACGAACGAGGGGCCGCAATGTGTTTTGGCAGTCAAAATATGAGAGGTGCTTGATGTTCGTCGTGTTGTTTGTATAAGATCTTATTTCTATACTGTTGTATTTTTGTTTAACTGTATTTTAAGTATATTACTGGTTATAATAAATATTCACATTGTCTTCAGAATATTTGGCATATAACATTAAAAATAGAAGTCATCCAACCACAAAAATATCATTCCTCATATTTGCAGCCTAATTTGTGATGTTTGTTTACTTCTTATTGCAATAACATACACTTTCAGGCGGTATGCTAACTATAACATTTGAAAAGCTTCCATTCTTATGACAATAACTGATGCAGGAAGCAACGTGTTTTTAAAGTTTTTCAATTTGTTTCTCTTACATATTGTTATTTCGTTTTTAAATGATTGGTTTTTGGTCGTGGAACACAGAGTAAGAAGATATATATTACGCGCGGCCTGTGCCCACTCGGCCTTCACCAGTGCCAAACGAAATGCTAGAATATTCTGATTTTCCATAGGGCGCTGCTTTGACTGCAAAAAACATGGCTTCAATTTTTCGGCAAAGACGGAGATGCTTCAACCACTCTATGTAGTATATTTTAGCTTTGCTTGAGACACAGAACTATCAGTTGATGTAAACAAACCCTACCGCAGCATTTCTTTCACGCTTCAAATGAAATTGTTCATTTTGATAACATTTCTTTTAGAAAAAAATAGTTGCCATGACTTCTGCTACACCCCACGTATATGTGAGTTGTGTTTGGCAAATTCATTGATGAGATGCTGTCAGCGGGTTCGAGTAATTAATGAGACCGTGGTGCAGTCGGAACAGCGTTTACAAGTGCTCTATTGAAAAACAATCTTACATCTTCGTTATTAATGAAAAATTAAAAAGTTATTAGAGATAGTGTAACTAATAACAGTTAAATATCAAAACTTGGATAATTTACTTGGCATTTTATAGACATCATTTATTATTTAATGACAAAGTTATGAGGCTGTTGAAAACCCAAATATTTTTGCTAAGACAATAGAATAAATAGACAATATTTTTGCTAAGACAATAGCTTTTGATTACAAAATCACGCTACGCCCGAATAAAAGCAAATCCAGAATTGTAGGTTACATAACAAGGAAACAGGATATTCGCGCACGAATCGAGTTTGTCGACCTCGCTATTCTCGTACGACTAAGAGTCGAATGCAGGAATCAACTCGCGCCTGTTTTGCGTATACTATTTTTTAACACGCCGTGAGCGAAAAGGAATGCGTCAAGTAAAGGAATATAAATTAAATATCAAATAACTGGAAATAGTTTACTTGTACAAAAGTAAATGGATTACAGTCAGTGTCGTAACACTACTGTTTGTAAATAATAAACAAAGACGCCGTCAAAGCAAAAGATAATTGCGAATCGGTACAGATGTTTCGCACACGCTTTGTAATGTTCCGTAATGTTTCGCACACTGTGTGAGTTTTTTATCGGTACCTCTGGTAATAGTTGTCATGTGTAGGTAAGTCATGTTTGGTATTAGAGTTGTTGATATTTGAAACTCGAATCGAATGTTGAATG